TATATATATATTGCTTTACACATACTCCAAAAAATATCCTGATTAGATCCTTATATTTTTTGTACAGTTGACACAAATTTTCAAACGCCCATAAAAAGTTATGTCCTATCAAAAGAAAGTCTTACTTCTGCCCAAAAGACCATTTCATAGTTAACAACTGTTGCAAATGTGCGTGTGTGAAGCATTTTTGCTGATATAAACACTGAGGTTGCTATAGGAACACCACTGTAATCCTAAGAAATTCAGATGGTAAATTCACACCATTATGCAGTCCCGTTGTATTTGCTCTAAACTGATTCATGTTAAACTTTCCTTTAAGATTGTAGTTAAGATTTTTTATAAATATTAAGCTTTAAATGTTTTTTGAGCTTATTAAATTTGTTAAATTCCAACAAAATTGTCTATTGACATCCACATTAATGAACTAAATAACTTTACTTTGAGATAAGCAGAACATAAACACCTCAATAAATTACAGTCCCTGACTTTACACCAAACTGCCAGCACTTTTATTCACAAAGTGTTGATTTTTATTCTCTCTTTTTTCACAGCAAATCATCTGCTGAAACACACCGCTAAGATGTTTAGCCTCTCCAAGTATCTTCTCACTGGCTGAAGATGTGATAAAATCAAAAAGCAGACAAGTAATTACACTGTATAATAGGCAAGATTGGCATTTTCAAAATCATTTTCATGTGGATGGAAATGACATTGCATAGACTATTCTGTATTCACTGGTGCAGATAAATAAACAAGGCATGGAGAAGAAGGGGGCATACAGAACGCACAGTACAATAGCAAGCAGGTCAGTAATTAGAAACTCTGTTTGCACAGTAATAATTTTAATATATTCATCAGGAAACAGAGCATGCCTAGCATGATAAAATCCCATCAAGAAACATATCCCAACTGTGTTAACCTTTTAAACAGGCTGCCAGCACATTGCTGAGAACCTCAAATAGATGAACATAAATGTGCAGCTTCACTCATCCGTATATTTGGAAATTTTACACAGTAAGTTGTTGTTGGAATATCACAAGGAATAGGCACCTCTTTTGTCACATTAAAATCCTTAAATATTTATCAATCCTCACAAATAAATCTGCTTCTTGACTCTTTTTTATCTGGGCTGAAGCCCTCCAACAAGCGTTCAGCTCCGACTGTGTGAGTCTGAGCGCCCGTTCGTGTGTCTAACCTTGTTTGTTATTGAAGGTGGCAGTGATGATGCTATGGAAATTATTGCAAATTACTTAAAGGGCTCATGACATGTAAAAACCTTGACCCCATAATGTCATTTACCCAAACACAGAAGAATGCATAATATTTTAGAGGAATTCCAGGTGCGGCACAGTCGCAGTGAACAACGTTTTTTTTATAGAAGTGGGAGCAGCTCAAAGCTGTTCATGCATGCATTTGTATTTTAATGCCATATGCACAGATTATGCAAACCAGACCTACGTTGAATAAAGGTCTTTATAACTTTAAGATAGTAAACAAGTTTAGCTGATGGTGTCCTAATTATCGCAAATTTAAACAGGAACACACAAACACACACTCGACTGAGCAGTACAGTTTAAAATAATAACCCTCTTTGCTGCAATGACTGCCAGTCTATTGTTTAAGTTTCCTGGTTTCATTTCCCACACATAAACTCAGAAACTTACAAGTTTACGTGACCTCATTCTACATGAAACAACCTCTAATTACACGAAGTGGAAGCCGCAACAAGAATACACTTCTCGCTGAATAGGTCTGTACTTTTTGAGTCCTTTAGTCTGTCTTTCGTTCGGAGATTTGAAACTTGCTGCACAGAGAGCAACTGGTCATTTATTCATGCATATTTGACAGCACCTAGTAGGCCCCTTTTTGTTCTGTCACTTCTGGCTCCTATTCTCCTTTTCCCCTAGGAGAGGAAAGAGTCAGGGGCTCCAGGGCAGCTACCTCCACAGTCCCGCTCTCCCCTCCAGGCCTAATTTTTGTTGTCCAGCCCTTTGAAACCTCAATCTCATGCAGAACCAAAGAATGGTGATCCATGTGCAACAAGTGCCGGTGCCATGGAAACCCCCGTTTTGGCCCCAAAATATCCCTTTTTATCCCTTTTGAAGACCTGTCACCAGGCAGAGCAGGCGCAACACGACCTCGGGCCTGGCCGTGACAAAGCCTATTTTCTGCCCGCTTCTTGATTGATTAAAAAAGACTTTTTAGTAAAACCATGTAAAAGGAAACAAAACGTGACACACAGAAGAAAGGGATCTTGGGTGTCAGCCAATCAGACGAGTGCTGCTGGAACTATAGCACAGAAAGTGAAGCCATATCATAATCGCCACAAAGGGAAGGGTCAGGCCAAGCATAGACGGTGGCAACAAAGATAATTATGATAATGACGTTAAAAGGCTTAAAGGGATCCCTGATTAGTTGTAACATTAGACTTTATTTGATAAACATATATTTTAACTGTAAATTAAAGACTGTAAAAATACTGTAGGCTGTTTAGTTTTGTAAATTTTAAAAAAATATATTCTAACAGACGGAGCCATTTTATTTACACGCAAAGCATTCTGGGTAAATGATGACATGGATAGGTCATTGGTGCGAGGCTGCTAGCGAGCTATATCCACCCTGAAGGTTAATCTTGGACAATATCTGAAGAT